GAAAACAGAAGAACCATCTTGTATAGTTATGCCAAAGGGATCAAATGTACCATGTCCAGGGACAAACTAAATGGCTTTCAAGGGACACATGGACTAAATGAGCAGAAAATTAGAGACAAGAGAAACACAGGGGTTTACAGTTGTTCATACAATAATACAATAATTAATAAATAATAATACAAGAATATGTGTTTCACCTACTCACAACTTTAAACCTACTTTGCTTGCTCCTGTGTTTTAGGGAGGCAGTTTAGCTACAAATGCAGACTTTGAGAAGAACCACACTTGCACTTAGCATTGATGTAAAAATGCTGAATATAACAGATCAGCAAATGGTGGTTAAGAGCATGGGCTGTGAAGCCAAACTAATGTATTTTTTAGCTTATCTGCTGACTAACATGTAAGCTTGAACTTACATTTACATTTACCTGTTTTTCTTCCCTCATTTGTAAAATGAAGATGCTATAACTTGCCTCATAGGGTTTGTTAGGGCAAGCATTAAGTGAGATTATTCATACATCTACAGAGAGCAAGCAGAAAGTAAGGCTCAATAAATGATATAGACTTTTCTAGCAGCAACAACAGCAGTACAACTAGGTATAGGTGTCAAAAATAACCATCCTAAATGTAAATTAAATCCCTGACTCTGACCTCATTAACATCAGGTTTATGCTTGTAAAACTCAAATGTGAATATTGCCCTATCCTTCTGGCTCCCTCATATTTATTCACAGGAAGCTCTCCTTGGACCCTATTGAGCTCTCTAGTTCCCTTGCCATTTTATTTTTCTCTGAGCCCATGAGCTTACTATTAGCCTCACTTCCCTGACCTTCTTTCCCTGCTGTAATTCATTTCTATGCTGGAATCAGAGTGATTTACCTAAATTATAAGTCCTACCATGTTGCCACTTTGGCAATAATTTATGATAATGGTTTGACATTGGCTTTTAGGAGGAAACATCAAAACCTGGTGAAAATTGCTGATAATTAAACTGACTAGTCTTGGGAGGATAAGGGAAATGGTTTTGGTTATTGTGTGTTTATTTCTAGATCCTTTAGGATAGATACCAATGTTTTCATCTGAGTAATAAGTGCTGGGCTAGATCAAGTAGAAACTGTTGACAAAGCAACTAATGTAATGCCAAGAACCCAGCAATACACATCACACTGTAATTGATGATGAAGCCCAAATGTTGAACAATTGGTTGGTTTAATATTCTTGAAACATAGTATAGGTTAACAGAAAATATTTTGTTCAAAATTAGGAGACTTTTCTTACTAGCTGTGTTATCTTGGATGATCTCTATTTTTCCTTAAGTCATGATACTGCTTAGTTTTTTTATGCCATCTGAATGGTTGAGTTTTGTAACAAATTTTAAAAAGCTCCATCTAAACAAATGTTTTTACAGCAATTTGGCTTCAATATAATTGGAAAGGATGGATCATAGGGATGAATGTAATTAAATGTCATTAGAATAAAATTGTAGTCTGTGGATGATGATGGAATTGATGATGATGATGGCAATGATGTTTGCTAATATTCATTGACAATTACTATATATCAGGACTAGTTTTAAACACTGTGTACATGTGATCCTATAATCCTGAGCCACATAGAGGTTAAATCACTTATCTAGGTCTACATAACTGGCAACTGGTGGGATTTGAACCTGGGGAGATTTGAGTAGATGGGGATGAGCACTACTTTTATTTAACCTATCAGTGAGCAAAATGAGTGCTTTAATAGATGAGTAAAAGAAGGGGAGATATTCATATTTATACCAATTGGAATATGGAAAGGCATCAAAACTGGGGTGCAGAGAGTTGTTAGAGGTGTTAAGATAGAGCTGGAAACAAAGCAGTAAGTCTTACTTTGCAGGTTAGTACTTGACTATGTGAATTTGAGTTAAGGATTTTACACAGGCTGGATGCTAGGCCAACCAATAACTTACTGGTCAGAACATTGAATTCCAAACGCCTGAAAACATGTTTGGTGTGGGTGTAAGGTGTGGAAAGTGGGATGGAGAAGGATGTTACTATTTTAAAATTAGGGATAAGAGTTGAGGAAAGAAAAATGGCTCCCACCAGACAGCTGCATGTATGCAGTAAGGTAGAGGAAAGAGAAATGAAGAGAAAGCTAATTTTTGAGTTAATAACTGATGTCCTAGATTTTCACAGTCTTAAACCTCTGTAGATTAGGGATTTGGGGCAATTGTATACCACAGAATGCCAAAAACTCCAAAATACTGTGATTTTATGGTTAGAACTCTAGCAATTTTAAGACAATGAAGTGCTAAGGGAGGTGGGGAAGGCACAAGAAAACCACAAGGATTTGAAAGGTAAAGCTCTGTTGATGTTAAACACTAATACCCCTTACACTCCAAGTCAATCACAATTTTAGCCCCCAGGATGGTGGAAATGGGATTAGAGAATGGAGAATAGGGTTTGAAAAAGGGGAAGGCCACCTGGGCAGGAATTTGGGGACAGGAATTTTGGGCCTCCCTCCCTAGGCTTTAACTGAAACAGCTTCCATTTTATATTATGGTTTCTACATATTGTAATTGTTTCTTCATTTGATAAAGGCATTCCAAACTTAAAGAAAAAAACAAAACTATTTAAGTAAGGGGAAAAAAGGACATGGAACTTCTAAAAAGTATTCTACTAGTCCTTGTCCTTTTTGAAAATAGTTATGGATGCTAAGAAGAATGTTTTGGTTGGGAGACTGGGGAGAGCCAACTAACAACTTAGCAAATCAGTGATCCTCTACTGTGAAGCTAACAGTGGCAGCAGCAAAATAATGACAATAGCAGTTACTATATTAAACATCAACTCTGATCTGGGCACAGGACTAAATGTTAAAGCAAACTGCACCATTTAGTTCTCTGTAGTTTTATGAGACAGATACTTTCATTACCTAATTTTGCAGGTATCATCACTTTTTTGTACCTGAAAGAATTGAGCAAGTGGTCTACATATATAGGATTAAACCAAGTAAAGGCGTTTTAAAATTTCATTTAACATACAGATTTCAGTAGTTGCTGAGGGCTTATGCAGCTGAAATATATACCAGTTGCAGATGATCTATTCCTTTAAACTCAGGCAATTCTGAGTTTGGAAGGTCAAATCACAAATGACTGCTAATATTGAAAATGTCTGATACTTTTTTCCAAGAGGGAAGAGTTTTATGTAGATTTAAGTAAAAGAAGAAATGTTTCCTTCAGAGAAATGCAAGGTTTTATTGTAACTGAATGTTTGCTTGAAAAGACTTTTATTAATTTGTTTATTCAGCAAATACTCATTGAACACCAACTAAATGCTCTGAGCCCAGAATCTCAAACATACAAAATTAAGAGACCAATTTGATTAATGTAATCTAAGAATTTTCTGAAATCACCAAATCCTGGTTCAGATGGCACCTATTGATTGAGCATGATTTCTCAGTTTAATTCCAATAGAATTTAAATACCCATGCAAAGTGGCAAGAACAGTTTATAAATTCTAGATCATGGAATGAAAGAACTTTAGAAGTAAAGTAACCCATTTCCTATATTTTGCATGTCAGAGGGACAGGCTTAGAAATTATAAACTCTATAACTTTGGACAGATTTCTTAACCTCTCTGAGGCTTACATTCCTCATCTATAATATGGGGATAATAGCACTTGCATTATAGAACTATTGTAAGGATTACATAAGATAATTTATATGAGGTTTTTAGTGCAGTGTCTGACACACATGACATTCTCGATACATGTTTACTGTTATTGTGATCATTATTTTCCAAGTGAAGGGACTGAAATAGAGAGGGAAAATGACTAGCCCAAATGAGTAGCCCAAGGTCATGTAGCTTAATGATAGGGCAAATGTTAGAACTCAAATCTCTATTAGTATTCAGATGTTCCTTTTACTATACCACTCATTTAATTCCTAGGAGTAGGTAATGTAAACTTGTTAGGCCTATGATAAATATTTTAGCTCATCCAAAGAGAAGAAAGGCACAGAAATGGCTGACACAATAAGAGAATTCCTACACTTAAAAAACAAAACAGCAAAGGATAGATATAGAACAAATGAGAAACAATAATTGCCAGAAAGTTTAGATAGCAGTGTTGGAGCATTATTATGCCTGGAGAGTTACAGAACTGATCTCTATCCTAATTCCTTTGTTCACCACAAACATTTCTACAAAAATGACTAAGTTTTTCCTTTTTCTTGGATATTGAGGTGGGGAGGTGGTTCATAATGCATGAGTGTTTCACAAAACCTTACCATAAATTGAGCTTTGCTAGACAATTTCTATTCACAAAGCAGAGGAACTCTGTAATTGAAGTTATAATGCAAACATAAATATCACCAAGAATCAAGAAATGGTAGATTTTAAAAGGATAGTGGACTGGAATGTAACCTCATAGTAGAAGTTGTTGAGAATTTTAGCAGAAAGAAAAAAGAATGGCGCAACAGTAAAGCCATGTTGTTATTGGCTTATGTAGTACACAGATAAGTACAGCACTGAGAGTATTTGATTTGTTAAATGAAGATATTCCTAGGAATTAAAAGTATACTTTAAAAGCCACTCTTTCCATATGTTAAAAGAAGCAACTAATTTACAGTTTGCTAAACAAAAAAAAGGATATATTCTTCCCTAAACTGTATTTCAGTTTAATTCGAGAACTGCAGTGTTGGTTATTACAACATCCAAGGAGTATTTAAAATGATCCAGGGGATTCCTAACAAGAGGGACAGTTTGCTCAAATTATTACTGTGAATGCCATGGCACACAGACTGCTGCCAGGAAGTCTGACTGGAGTTCCTAGTCCACCAAACGAATATGTCATGATTATTTAAAATGCAGTTACTATTTGAAACAGTTGTTACTCTTTTTTAACTTCTTCCTTTAATCTTAAGTTGACTGACATGCCTCTCCTAAAAATAATTATATTTATTTAAAAGAAAATACATTGATAGTACTTTGTGTATTCAGTCGATAATTTTCTCCTCCACAGGGCATCAGGTACTGTTTATACAGCACTAGATATCGCAACAGGACAAGAGGTAAGTGCTAACATGCAATATTGATTTTTATTTTCCTTTATTCATATTGATCAGATTTCCTCTTTGGTAGCATCTATGCCTGAAAAACAATGATTAGCACTGGCTTAATGTTGGAGTTTTCTTTTTTGGTGTCCAACGTATCTGAAGAGGATAGTTTACTCATGATTAACCACAGAAAGGGAAATGGTGTGTGGCACCAAGTAAAAGCTTACTAAGATAAAGGATTTGTATACCCCAAAATGTGAATGTTTGTTTTTAGTCTAATAATTATAATTCATTCCTATATTTTAATCATCATTCAGGTGGCCATAAAGCAGATGAACCTTCAACAGCAGCCCAAAAAAGAATTAATTATTAATGAAATTCTAGTCATGAGGGAAAATAAGAACCCCAATATTGTTAATTATTTAGATAGGTAAGTGTTTTCTCTCATTATGCACTTGTTTTATTTATGGTATGTCATTTTCTTGACAGATTATTTTATTTAGGGTCTATTCATTTAGTATTCATTCTATAAATATTTCTCAAATGCTACAAAATAGTAGAATATCAGAGCTATTGGTAAACTGGCATCCACTTATCTTTGACCATCCATCAAACATTAGAAGACATTTTATAGTGTTGCTTTTAAACATGAGCAGTTTGTGTAATTTCTCATTGGGGATCATGACTTTGTCTCGGCAAGAGATAGCCTATTGCATATAGGAGAGGGTTGTGGTGTGTTAAACATTTATTTTAACAAGTGTTTGTTTGAAGCCAGTGCAGTATCTGGGTGTCTAAGTGAGGACGGCTGTCTACAGTAGCCCTGCTCTAATGGGTATTTTGTAATTAACTGATAATGAGGCATAGGAAATTGAGACTTTAATCTCAAACCTTTTTCCTAGACCGGGTAATTAATGTCTCTTTCATCAGTGGTATTAGCAAGTGGTTTATAAATAGACATTTAAATACAGCATCAGCTCTTCACTTGTGGTTAACACCTGTCTCATTCAATTTCAGTGTTTGTCTAGCTCCACTGTGCTATGTACTGTGGTTAGGACACAAAAGAAATAAGAGTAGGTCTATAACCTTAGTGAGCTTAAGATCTTTCTTTCTGTGTTTTGAGCCAGGTATCTCTGTGGTACAGAAGGAGAAAAAAGGGAGGTGAAAATAGAAGGGTCAAATTTTACAGTAAAAATCACTGTTTCATAAAGTGTTACAATTGACTTCTATGATAACTGGCACCTCGGCACAGTAAATCCATTGCAAACATGAATCATTTTTGTTTACTGACTGCTGGAAAACATTTCAGTAATCAATTCAGGAGAATTAAAAATAATGCCAATATCTGAATAAAGATCTGTATAAATGCCAAGACCTGAATAAATGCCTAAAAATATGTATGCCATGGGCCACTACAGTCCAAGAAGTCAACATTGTGGCTTGAGTAATCCAAAAGGGCTATTCATTGATCTTGCTCATTGAAACTAGCTTTTACAAGGAATGTAGCAGTCGGTTACCAGAGGTCTCCTTGCTTTCTCCATGGCACACAGTCATATCTAGTGATCCTTTGGTTTCCATGCATATTCTCATCTAACGTTAAGCAGGTATCTCATTACCATCATCACCGGTATTCTCTTCTTGTTATGTAATATAATCAAATGCAGAAAGACTGTTTGAAAATTGCCTTCTAAATGGGAATGTGGAAGGATCTCCACCTTCTCAGGCCTGAGTTCAACGTCTTTTTCTTCTCTTGTTATAGCTACTTAGTGGGTGATGAACTATGGGTAGTCATGGAATACTTGGCTGGTGGCTCTTTGACGGATGTGGTCACAGAGACCTGTATGGATGAAGGACAGATAGCAGCTGTCTGCAGAGAGGTAAGAAAATAAAGCATTTCTAGATGATGAAAACACCAAAATGGAAAGTTCTTTCTTTATCTCCGACTACTCAGAATGTTTATAACATCAAAGTAATAATAGTGCATTTTTTTCTACTGAAAAAAATGGAGAGCCTAAATTCAGTTTAAATCCTAACATAATAGCACTCCCATTCCCCTCCCCCCACAGCACCTTGTTTATTTTGTTTTTATATGGAACTTATGAGTTCCATTATGCCATTCACAAGGTACATTTAAGCCTATGTGATTTTAACTTTCAGTGAACATGGAAAACAGTAATTTTGGCATGGAACTTCTTTCTGATTTGAAGGAATTTTTACATGGTAGTTATTTTGTCTTGTGTGTGCAAATGAGCCATGTGAAAATACAGACCATATTATAATCCCATCTTTTTCTAGAACATAATTTAACCCAGGACTTTCCTCAGCCCAAAAAGTAGTTATGTCCACAGTATAAATTTGAACATCCCTGATAACCCTCTAGTGAATCAAAGTATCTGCCTCTTTTCCAATAATAGTGACATATACTTATTTTCAAGCTAAACCAAGAATATTTTATTATATTATTTTTTCAATATTAAAAAACACTCTTCATTGGAATTTTATATTGGGCATTACCATCTACTTCATTCATTGTGGTGAGGTTTTCTATGGATACATTAGGAATCCTGACCCACTGAAACTTAAAAAACAGTGATAAAAAATAATACCAAGTAATTCCAGCTGGTCTTTGCTTGATTTTATCTTAAATTTTCACTTAAATCTCTTTGTTCTCCTCTCACTCTCACTCTCACTTTCTCCTCCCCAACCATACACACATATCCACTAAACATATATATTTTCTATTCATGTAATATATCAAACTTATAATATTTAGGTGAATATTTGACCCTGATTCTGTTCCATCTTCTGGTAATGCCATTCAAAGCCATTTTCAAACAAGTACCTATAGTTACTTCATAGTGGTCCCCAAACTTTGATGTCCAACAGAAATAGCTTGGGGCACTTGTTTTAAATGTAGATTCCCAGGACCCACTCCAGACTGACTGAATCAAATCATACCATTGAAGCACAAGCTTACTGCATCTATTTAAGACCCAGCTGAATCCATACCCTCCAGATTTTATCTTAAATTTTCACTTTCACGACTAGGTCAAAGTATGATTATATTAATTGGTTGGTTTGACTATATTAATGACTTTGTACTGCTCATTATACTATCACTCTTCATGTCCTAGTCTGACTCAGGAGTTTCCTATGTATAAACTAAATTGTATCACTGATGTAAATGGTAATGCGACTTCAAAATAGTGTTAAAGCACTTCATAATTTATTTCACTTGACAACATAAAATTATACTCCTTCCCAAAATTTATCTATATTAAACTTAGTTTTAAAAATTATTTGTGATATAATTAGAACTTTTTTTCCTGATCCAATAGTGCCTCCAAGCTTTGGATTTCTTGCACTCAAACCAGGTGATCCATAGAGACATAAAGAGTGACAATATTCTCCTTGGGATGGATGGCTCTGTTAAATTGAGTAGGTATTTGGTTCTGATGGTGTTTGAGAATATATTGGGGGATTCCTGCTCTTTCACTGTTTATGTTGAGAAGAAAATGGCTATTGAAAGCAATAGGTTCGAAAGCATTTAGAGCACAGTTTTAAGTAAAGAACTGTGTTTAAGTAATGCTGTGTTTCTGTAGATTGTGGCTAGATTTTGGGTGGGGGGTAATCTAGTGACTTCCATCTGCTGGGTGACATATAAAAAGAAGACTGAAGGGTTCTGTAAGTTTGGGGGAACCAGACTGACATCACTTCAGTTAGCTATTTCAGACCCTTTTAAAATCAGGACCAGCTGAGAGATCAGGCAACAAAAGGATATGAGCTAGACAATTGTAAAAGCTGAGTGTCTAACAAAGGAAAGTACAGACATATATGAAAATGAGCTATTATAAAAGAAAAATGATTTGAGCTGGTTTTAAGGGACTTTTCTTCTCTGCAGCTGATTTTGGGTTCTGTGCCCAGATCACCCCTGAGCAAAGTAAACGGAGCACTATGGTGGGAACTCCCTATTGGATGGCACCTGAGGTGGTGACTCGAAAAGCTTATGGTCCGAAAGTTGATATATGGTCTCTGGGGATAATGGCAATTGAAATGGTGGAAGGTGAACCCCCTTACCTTAATGAAAATCCACTCAGGGTAAGTCAAAAGAAAACTCAGGTACTTCATGCTCTGGTAAAGGAAAAGGCAAAATGTTATTTCTTATCTTCACCAGAATTGGCCAGAATGGGCTCCTTCCTGGGACAAGTGACATAGAAGCTTCAAGTTATAATTTTCAAAATTACTAGGAGTTATGTTTAGTTTCTTTTAAGATATTACAACAGTTTTTTTTTTCAGTGTTTTCACATCGGTATTTCTAATAACAGGGATCGTTAAAAGTTTTTAGTTTAGCTTTCTGCTGTTGAAAAGGCTTTAAAAAAAAAAAGCAAGATGTCGGAAGAAAAGAGTCATTTTATTACATGCTATGGTTAAATGATCTATCTAGGAAACACTTGCTTTATAACTACTTTAACAAAGTAAATAAATATATTTCCAGAAGAGCTATAATTTTTAATATTAGATTTTATTTCATTATCAGTAATGATTTTTTGAGCAACAACAGCTTGAGAGGCAGTGAATGGAACACAGGATAGACACAGTGCCTGCCTGATGAAGTCACAAACTTAATTAGACTGTCAAGTAGAAAATGAATGGAAATAATTTGTGTTGGGTAACTCAATTTGCTACTGCAGAATTAGAGGCTTGATCCTTACATAGTCTGGTTACATTGCAAAGAGCAAAACTCCATTTCCTACTTTAACACTACCATCTTGACTCAGATATGCTGTTGATCATGAGAGGGAAAGGCAAAGAAATGTGAAAGAAATGCTTGCTCAATACAAAATTCAGCCAGTAGCTATTTCATTCTGTATAGCCAAAGAGTGAACTAGAAGCTGTATATATATATATATATATATATATATATATATATATATATATATATATATATATATATTCACATTAATAAAAAAGAAATATGCACAGATTCAAATTCTACTCTCAAAATGTAATCAGTCTGTTTAATAGACCTACAATGCCACAGGCATCTTGAAAATCGTTTGGATCATTACCACTAAAAATCTAAAATTGAGTTTACTCTTAGTATACAAAAAACATTGTCCTTAGTAAATAATTAAGTGTTCCAGGGGTATCAAACCTGTGGCCTATGGGCCACATGTGGCCCAGAATGGCTGTGAATACAGCTCAACACAAAACCATAAATTTACTTAAAACATTATGATGTTTTATGGGATTACATGTCACACCGTATTTAATATGTGGCCAAAGACAACTGTTCTTCTTCCAGTATAGTGCACAGATGCCAAAAGTTTCAACACCCCTGGAACATTAAGCTTATATTCAAGCCAAATATGTATAGTTTTCTGTATATGTAAAGAAACCTACAAACTAATTGTCTTGTTGCTTTTGCAGTTGAACATTTTGTAATTTAGACCTGCATTCCCTATGTATGGAGGAGAGAGGAAAAGCTTCCTCTTGTCCCCTCCTAATTCCTTTCTGCTTCTTGTCCTCTTGTCTTAGTCCCTTCACTGATTAGAAAACAACATATTGGAGTGAATTCCCTAATGAGTGCTGTGGGCTATTGCTCTGGTCTCAATCTGGAAGTGAAATGTGCACATTGATTAGCTGCCACAGGGCTGAGTGGAAAAGAAGGGGCATTTTCCTACATTTATAGGTCAGCTTTCCATGAATTTAATTAAGCCCATCCCTGACCTGTGAACCAGCACATCAGGATAATTACTTTGGCTTGTCCTCATTGTTTAACCACCTTCGTTTGTTAAGAAATAGCAGCAAGAAAACACATCAGGCCTATTGTTTCCAAGGTTTCTTGCTCTAATTCTTTGGAGTTTGGAGGCACTAAGCAGGATTATGGCTGTTTTGCTTTCTGCCTTCTAATGAGTAATTTATAACCTGCAAAATTTAAGGATTAAGTAAATGACTCTAAAGCAACTAGTCACAATAATGCAGTTATCAACTTCTTCAGTTCCCCATTACAATTGATCTCTCTTTTGCTAAACTGTTAACTTAGAAAAAAGGAAACAACATTTAATCTTTATAGCCATTTTCTAGCCAGAGATTAGAACTCTTAATTAATACCTTGTCTCTTAGAATCCACAGCCTTGTATCTAAACAAGTACTTGCAGACTAACAAAATACCAGGTTCAGGAAGCCTACATTAAGGCTATATAACAAAAAGACCTGTCAGAAAGACCACCCTGTTGAAGTCCACTGATAAGGATTTAGTCTAACTTTACTCATTACTTCTGTGTTCAACCTCCAGTGAAAAAATCAACAAATCCTTGAGCCAGCCCTCTATCTCTTTGTTGGTCACCACAAGTACTTTCTTAGTTTTTATTTTGTTATTCTCATGCTCTCTTAAAGAAAACTCAATGTTTCAGGCTATATGTCCTTATTTCAGATTGTTTTAAAAAATGTTGTTGCTGAAAGCATGAAGAGATTGCAGAGAAAAATGTAACATAATGTGGGGGCAACTTCCTGGAAAGTTTCCCCAGTTGCCACGGAAGAAGAGTAAATATGACCGAGACATGATGTGATCTGCTTAGGGAGAAGTGAGCAGTGGCCAGTTTCTCAGGGGAGACAAAGGCCAGCAGCGGCCAGTTTCTCCAAGGAGAAAAAGGCCTTAAACTCCCTCCTCCATAGCCTTTTATTGGGTTGTAATACACAGGAATACAGGGCGGCAAGGATCAAACAGTAGATAACATTTCAAAGAAATCTGAGGGCTTCAGAGTCTGTCAGGAACAGAGTTTTAGGGTTTCTTGCTCGAACCCTTAACATATGAATGAAAGCACTCTCAGCAGAGCAAATTTCACAGTTTTATCAGAAAATCTTTGGGATGCTAGATTTTTCCCTAGGACATGCTCTAGCAAGGCAAGCTGCACCTCTCCCCATCGAGTATTCAGGATTAAGGGGAGTAGAGCCAGGAAGTGCTTCTCCTACAGGGCATGGGGACTCGGTTTTGCCAAAGGTGGGGGTGGGGCCACGAGGGTCCATTCCTCCCTCTTTGTTGCAGCCCCCCTAGTCCTTCCATGATGGCCTCCCAAGTGATAGAGTCTGGCTTAGGTTGCCCCCCACTGCGAGGGGTCTTACCTGTCATTGACTTCCAACCAAGCTTTGGGGGCAGGTAGAAGAAACTGAGGCAGCGTTTGCTACCAGAGACAAGCTTTGTCTTCTGTGGCTGGCACTCCAGAGGTCTTCCCTGGCCCTTAGTCACAAGGGGTAGAGATACAATTCCTAAAACCAGGCAGAGCGGTCTGCAACAACAGAAGCCTGTAGTAAGTCCATGTTTTCTTGGATACTGGTCACCAGGCCATGTGTGGGGAAATAGAAAATCACACACCTTCAGAATTATAAAGAAAAACTAGGTTAGTCCTTTTTTATTGAAAAATCCTTCCAGTACTACCACCCATCCACCACTTTAGGCTTTGAGGAGGAAAAAGAAAATAAGTGGAAGGAAGACAGAATGGTAAAGTAGGGGTAGCATGTTGATGTAAAATAATTGGCCCATATAGTCAGGCAGATCTAGATATGTCCTGGCCCACAACCTATAAGCTCTGTGACCTTGTGCAAATCATATAAAACTTTTATATGCTGGGTCTTTTGTGTAAAATGGGGAAAATATATATCTTGCAGAATTAGTATGAAAGCTAAATGAAATAATGCATGTAAATCACCTAGCAGTGTCTAGCTCAGTGTAGGAAATACATTAGAGAGACACATATGTGAATAAAAATGTGAGAAAGAAAAATGAGAAAAAGGATTCTCGGCATGCTTTTTACTCCAAGAGGAGTGATTAGATGTCCCACTTTCCCCAAATATTCCTCTCCACACTGGTTATACTCCTATTTCCTCAAGGAATAGAGGGTTAACATAATTCAGTTAATTTATCATAAACAGGTAACACTGAACAGGAGAGGTTAAAGGTGAACTATGGGGCTATACATTTGAATGTTGTTTGCATTTCACTGTGGATATTTTGAGTCTTTGTTGTGTCAGTTGCAACTGAGCATGCTCTATGAATATTGTCTGTTAACACACCATTGATGTGAGGAATTAGCTACTACCCACCACCTCTAGTTATAAATGGTTAGGATTTCTTAAAAAGTGAATTAATTATGTACTATTAACTTAATTTTTTTATAAAATGCCTTTTAAAGGTTAGAGAGTTATGTTATGATGTTGGTACCCTTCCAGTAACAGAGAGAAGACAAGCTTCTTCTTCTTTCTCCCACTGCCTGAAGTCTTTGTACTCAACATAATTGACCTTGGACATGTTGTTATGTGACCCATAGACATCTTCAATAATTACATGTATTGTTCTTTCTGTTTATGAAGGTGACTGGGGTTAACATCAAACTTTCCCTCAATGTGAAAATCAAATGTTAGTGTTCTGCTCATCAGCCTGGTTTGTTTTTGTTAATTGTAAATATAATTTCTTTTTAAAAAAAATTATTTAGTTATTTTTCAAGTACAGTTTTTTGTCTATTTCTCCCATCTAAATGTAATTTCTAACCCCAGCTGGTGTGGCTTAGTGGATTGACCACCAGCCCTGTGAACTAAAGAGTTCAAAACTCTGTTAATCAAGAGTTCACTTAATTCCAAGTCAGGGCACATGCCTGGATTGTGGGCCAGGTCCCCAGTAGGGGGTATGCTAAAAGCAACCACACATTGATGCTTCTCTTCCTTTCTTTTTCCCTCCCTTCCCCTATCCCTAAAAATAAATAAATAAATAAATAAAATATAAAATTTTAAACCTGTGATTGGTCAGTGATCCAAGGTGGCAGAGGAATAAGTGGAAGCTACAGTAACCTCTTTCCAGGGCCAATCTGAAATTATAACTAAGTTGTAGAGAAATATCCTGAATGACAAAATGAACACTAGGTAGAGAGAAGCCTTATAACCATAGACAGAGAGAAAAAACTACTTCACCACAATGAAACTGGTAGGGAGTGTGGAGGAGGCATGAGAGGGCTGGCTGGGCTTCCACGGGTGGCAGCTGAAGATCCAGAGGGATATTTAAGTGTCCAGGAGGGTTTCCCCTGAGAAGTTTGGGGTGTAAACCC